CCGATAAGCAGCAGGCGACCGAAAGAGCACTTTCCATGAGCTGGTGCCGCTGCGCGGAAACAGGTGTAATGGAAGTCGTGGTACATAACGAGATTGGGTCAATCAAACATGTGCATGTGTGTGTGAGGAGCTGTGGACTCGAAAAGCTGAGGTACGTGTAAACCTCAACAATTGAACAATGGCTGAAAACCCATGTATCTTGTTCTTGGCTCTAAAACAGTTTCTCTCTATCATCAGTTTACACATGGATGTGTGTTTGGCCTCACATCTTTGGATCAGCTTTTTCAGACAGAAAAGCTAAAAAGAGAAGACTAGAAAGAGACCAGATTAAGAGACCAGAGAGAGAAAGACCAAAGAGAGACCAGAGAGATGTGTGCAGCCTTCTCCAATCCTTTTCTCTGTCTCCAAATTACAAAAATCAGGTTTGAAATCTAGGAGTAATCATGGACTCGGACCTCAATTTCAATAGTCACATTAAATCTGTAACATCAGCGGCTTTCTACCATCTAAAGAACATTGCTAGAATTAAGGGCATAATGTCTAAGGCAGACTTAGAGATTGTCATTCATGCTTTTGTTTCTAGTAGGTTAGACTACTGCAACGGCCTTCTCTCTGGTCTGTCCAAAGGAGCTGTAAAGCAGCAACAGTATATTCAAAATGCTGCAGCTCGAGTCCTGACAGGAACCAGGAAGTACGACCACATTAGTCCAGTCCTCAGGTCTCTGCACTGGCTTCCTGTGGCTCAGAAAATAGATTTTAAATCAGCTCTCCTTGTATTGACCCCTTGCATGTGACGTCACGGCCACGCCCACTCTCCATGACAGACGGCAGAAGTCTAACTGCGAGCCTACGGACACCTGACCAAAACAACCTGTTTCAGCGCATTACAGCCAAAACTGTGACATTTTGCAGTGTGGTTGATTATACTAACAGGCAAGGACATAAGCTTTTTCATCTGATACCTGCTCGTCATGAAGACAGAAGACGACGATGGCGGCAATCAACCAAAAGGACTGGGACCCATCCAAGTACTCCCTAATAAGTTTTTACAAGATAAAGCAATCACAAGTTTGTATTTATTTTATTTCCATTAATTTGGAGGACAATGACACACGTCAAACGTGTCTCTTACTACTGTCCTGTATGTGCGCTGCAACATTGACATTTTTATCTTTTAAGTCAATTGCGTGTTTCACTATTTTCCTCTCCATCAGTACGTATCATGTTTGGCTGTAGAGAGAAAAGCCACAGAAAAGTGGACTATTGCTAATGCTACCAGCAAAATGTACATATAAATCTGCTCCAGTGTAAGGGGATGCATTGTTAACGATAATGATAAAGATCATGTAGGGTGAATTTGGGCAAAAATAGACATTTCATTTAATCAATAAAATTGACTGGGGGGAGAAGGTACGGGTCAACATTCAGTTAGGCAAGCCTTAACTTCTCCACATACCACTCTTTGTGAGCCCTGACCTGATGTCCTACTTCCACCTATAACGTAATCGAACATGTGCTTGAAGCAGCCACTTCTCAATTTAGGAGAGGAAGCTCCGTTTTTAAGGGTGTATTCAGACCTGAAAAGTCCTTTGCTCCGCTTGCTTGATCCGAATCAAAAGCGGACCAAACTTTTTTCTTTTGCTCCGGTTCGTATTCAGACTGTCCTTTTTGCAAGTGAACTTTTTTATATAAACATATTGACACGTGTGACGATCGGCGCTCCTATTGGACAGCGAGAGCTCACGGAGGATAGACGCGGAACCGGCGGAAAACATTGAGGGCTCGTATGTGCAGCATGTCTGCTCTGCCTATGTTTGCTCTTTTTAGAGCATAACCACCTTCAACATCAACAACAGCAGCTCATATGACACAGGCCAAACACGTTGTTTTAAATATTGGAACAGTGTCGGAGAATGCGTGAGGAGAAAGCTGAAGGAGACTGTCTGTGCGCTCCGTGCCCTGTCCCACACATGGATCTATGATAATAACGGCCCTGTTCAGCATTGTGGATAAACCATGGATCTATAATAACCACGGGACAAACAGATGCTGAGGATCAGGTAGGAACCAAAGAACACAGTTCACTACATGATACAGGATATTTCTCTTTGAGACGTGAGTCAAACAGTGTCAGGCTTTTAATAATGCAAATGGTTTGAAGATGCTGCCATTAACATCAATGTATACTGTGAACAGTTGTAACTCCATAAGCCTGTTGCACAGCGTCTCCTCATTGCTCCAGGTCTGCACACGGCTCATTGTTGTTGTGTAGCGTTAGCAGCATAGTTAGCCGTTGCGTGGCTAATTCCTCACAGTTTCTGTCTATGGCTTGTTAAGCCCAAAAAATGCGCACGTATCTTGGAGTTGTGTCGGATCGAAACCGGATGTATTCAGACCTGATTCGACTTGGACCAGAATTCGTTTGGAAGCGGACCGAGACCACCTAAAAAAGTGGGTCTCGGTTCGGTTCTTTGGTCCGGACCAGGATTCGTTTGTGTGTATTTAGACCAGCATAAAAGCTTCGGATCAGAGTTCCAAACAAATCCTGGTCCGTTTAAAGTGGAGCAAATGTGCAGGTCTGAATACACCCTAAGAGTTGTGTCCGTTTTGCTCTCGCAGCAATGCTAGTTTCCAATACTTCCGCCGTAAGCTCATTTACAATCACGTGACTGGATGACGTTGATGCATCTGGTCAATATAAGTCTCTCCATGGCCTCGCACCAAAATACATATGCAACATGCTGGTGCCGTACGAGCCCGCTCGAACTCTGTGGAGCGCGGGGACTGGCCTCCTGTTGGTGCCCAGAGGACGGACTAGACATGGGGAGGCAGCGTTCCAGACCTATGCACCTAGAATCTGGAACAGTCTTCCCGAAGGTGTGAGACAGGCTCCTACTTTAGCTATGTTCAAGTCCAGGCTGAAAACGGTTCTTTTCAGCCGTGCCTTCTGTTAAAGCTGGTAATAAACTATAATGCCTGGACAAAGACAACACAACAGACAAGGATACAATTTTACTTGGAACACAAGGAGCACACGCATGGTCACGGCACAACGCTGATCTTGGCGCTGTGACCGTGCATGCACTGAAGTCCTTAGGTCACAGGCCTATTTATTCAGACAAAAAACCACACCTACATCACGGTCACATTATTGTCACTCCAAAGATTCCATATGGCCCAAACCATTAGTTTGTTGACACAGTTCAACCATTTTAGTCTAAAAAGGTTTCCAGTCTTATCTCATGCTGACAACCCAAAAATCGCTTCACAACCCAAACATGTGACATATGGACATCCATTAACAATGCAAACATGAAGACAACGGTTAGCAAGTAACCCATTGACCTGTTAACATGCATTCACCTTTGCAGTCACAGTGAACTTTGACAACACAGTTAGTTTAAAGACAATGCATTAAATATTAATTAAAATGATAATATAATTCTACTATCACCTACGACTGATCATCAGGAAATCGGATCATAATTTTATTTTTGATGTATATATTTATTCATTTTCTTAAACTGTCTTTTGTATTTGTTTTTACAGTGTGTTTTTAAATTGCTTTTAAATGTTGCCGATGTGAAGCACTTTGGGTTGCATTCTGTATGAACTGTGCTATAGAAATAAACAGTGATTGATTGATTGATTAAAGATTCAAGAATTTATTTGCCATTTGCAGTAAAACTGTGCAGGACTCACCCCAGTGTGCAGCAGATAACAAACACTAGAGCTCGTGCCACGGCGCCATATTTGCAGACACCTACAGAAGAGCATTGTAGTCACACAAGAAATACAAATTGTAAAAATGATAATAATAATAATCTCATAATTATGAGATATTATGTCATGATTACGAGATAGTATCTCAAAATTATGACATATTATCTTGTAATTATGAGATTATTTTCTTGTAATTACGAGATTATTTTCTTGTAATTACGAGATTATTTTCTCGTTATTATAAAAGAATAAAAAGACCTGATAAGGCAGGCTGCAGTCCATTGATTCATCACCCACTTTTTCATCTGCAGTACAGGTAATTAGGGCTTTAAAGGTTCTTTTAATAAGACAAGAAAGTAAAGAAAGCTAGTACTGCTTAATTACCTGACATGTTTGGGCAGTACACTTCCACCTTCATCAGAGGTGACAGGTGATGGTGTGACGCGTCTCTTATCAGCTGTTGTTGTCGGATGCGGTTAGTCTGACGTGTTGTGGTCTCTGGAAAAGTGAATCCCAAGTGTGAGCCAAGGTGAAAGCCCCCTTGTCTCTGTTGATGGTCCGGAGTTGGGTCCTGGGTGCAGTACTACTACTGCTCCTGACAGAGGCCCTAGTAGCATCAAGATGGGTCAAATGCAGAGGAGCAATTGCCCTTTGGAGATAAATAAAATGCACCTGTGGGGCAAGCCTCACTTGAGAGACGTAAAAGCCCATAGCTCACTGGGGGAGAGGCCCGTACGCTGCTATCGAAATGTTTTCTCTGTTTATCGCAGTTTACAAATTTCAACAAACTACCTTTACAATCAACATGTCTACAGTTGAGAGGATGGGTCATAAATTGTGTTTTTGACAACAGATATGGGTCTTAATCGCGCTCAATCCTGTGGTCCCCGAACCGGACCCCCTCCGACCGCTGGCTGCACCTAGAAATGTTGTCCATAAACACAGTGAACAGAACCGGTGACAAAGGGCAGCCTTGGCAGAGGCCAACATGCACCGGGAACAGGTCTAACTTACTGCCGGCAATGCGAACACAGCTCTGACTCCGGTCATACAGGGACCGGACAGCCAAAAAGATGGCGCCAGCAGTGTGCACGGCGCAGCATCTCTCTGTTCTGATTTGGTTACTGTTTGCACAGATCGCCAATTTAAGTTATCAAAGTGTTTCAGCACTGCTTGTTTATGATCGCCAGTCGTTATTTTAGTCGACTGGGGATCATGTTTATGATCGCCAGTCGTAATAGTCGTTATTTTCTATTCGTGACCAACACAAGTTGTTTCTAAAGCAAAATTATGGAAACCGATCCTCGGGTGGCCTTCCCCCCCCTCTCTCCTTGGCTCTGCCCCCGTACCTGCACCGCTCCTGTGCTCTCCCAAGAAAGCGCCACAGGAAACGGGGAAAGAGAGGTGGCACTGCCGTAAGAGTAAGAGCCTACCTTCGCTCCCAGCGCGGGCGTGTTCCTCCAGTACAGTTCGGCGATGTCCACCAGGATGTCTGCCCTTTCCTGGACCGTTTGTGGCGGTGGATTCTCCCGGTTCATCCCGACAATACCGTGGATGGATACGTAACAGAGGAGTACTATATCCACCGGCTTCCCAGACCCACAGAGCGCCGCGCCATTCCAGCTAACCTGCGCTCGTTAGCTCGGGCCCAGCCTAGTGAGGATAATCCAACTCTTCTGCTGGCCCTGTTCAATGTTAGATCCCTGGCGAACAAGACTTTTGTATTGAATGACTTCTTCACAAACCGGGATTTGGACTGTATGCTTCTGACTGAAACCTGGCTTCGACCTGGTGAGTGTATCGCTTTCTCAGAACTTCTCCCTCCAGCATGCTCCTTCTTTAGCTCCCCTCGCACAACAGGGAAAGGCGGAGGATTAGCTACTGTTTTTAAAAACAATCTGAACTGTCGGAAGCTCCCCTGTGCGCAATTTGAAAGTTTTGAATTGCAGCTCTTTGAGCTAAGACTGAATGCACTGATTCCGTGCGCACTAATATATCGCCCGCCTAAGTCCAACAAGGATTTTATAAAGGAATTTTCGAGCCTTGTGGCGGACATCGCTCTGAAATGGGACTATTTTATACTCGCTGGTGATTTTAATGTTCATGTTTGTTGCGAATCAAAACCTCTAGTCAAGGAATTTCAGAACATTCTCGACTCTTTTAGCTTGAGTCAGTCTATAAATGTTCCGACCCACAATAAGGGGCACATTTTAGACCTGGTATTGTCTCACGGGCTAAATGTGAATATCAGAGACATATGTGACTTGGGGATCTCTGATCATATGCCTGTGTTGTTTTTAATTTCGATGTCTTGCCCAAAAGCAAATGTGTGCGTTCCCGTGAGCAAGCGGCGTATTTGCTCTACTACGGCTCCTCTTTTTTTCGCAGCTTTTAATGCCTCGCCTCTGAGCGCTTCCTTAACCAACTTGGAAATTAATGACATGGTTAGCCTCCTTGATTCCACTTGCACCGAGATTCTTGACTCTATTGCGCCTTTTACGCACATGCGCTCAAACCCTGGAGAGCCGTGGCACAATGCCACAACGAGTGCTCTTCGCTGTGAATGTCGCCGCGCGGAGAGAAAATGGAAAAAAGACCGACTTCATGTGTCCCTGGGAATTTTAAAAGACTAAACTACCAAAGAGCTGTAAAATCAGCAAAGACCAACTACATGTCCAACCTTGTTACCAAAAACTGTAACAACCCCTAAATTCTCTTTAATGTGTTAAACAGTATTGTAAACCCAGTTGAACACACTGGTGTTTCCCCATCTGTTTCTTTGTGCGACCAATTCTGTACATTTTTTAAAGAGAAAGTGTCTTCTTTGCGCTCTTCAACCTCATGTGCTGTAGTGGATCCCAGTCTTGTCTCTCCTTGTTCAGCTGTTTTTGCAGACTTTGAGCCCATCTCTCTGTCTGAATTACTGCAGACTGTTCAAACACTTAAAGTGTCTAACTGTCCTTTAGATACCCTGCCTGCGAGAATGTTTAAAGATGTTTTAGATTCTGTTGGTCCTTGTATTTTAAACCTGATCAATCAGTCACTTGAAGAGGGCTGTGTCCCAGCTGCCTTTAAACAGGCCATTGTGCAGCCTTTGCTAAAAAAGCAAAATTTGGACCCATCTGTCTTGTCCAATTTTAGGCCTATTTCTAAACTGCCTTTTCTATCCAAGGTTCTAGAAAAGGTAGTTCTTAACCAGCTCCAGTCGCATCTTAAATCAAATGATATTTTTGAAAAATTTCAATCTGGGTTTAAATCCTTGCACAGCACAGAAACTGCACTGTTGAAAATTTTTAATGATCTTCTTTTAATCTCTGACTCCGGAAGCCCCTCGGTGTTAGTGCTTCTAGATCTGACAGCAGCATTCGACACTGTCGATCATAACATTCTTATCTCCCGCCTTGAGTCCTGTGCTGGAATTAAAGGCACAGCACTCAAGTGGTTCCACTCTTACCTGTCCGATCGGGTGTTTTCTGTAAATCTCGGCTCTTGCAGCTCAAAGAAAAGCCTCCCTTGACAGTGGTGTACCGCAGGGTTCCGTTTTAGGACCAGTTTTATTTTCACTGTACATGTTGCCCTTATGGTGCGTTCAGACCAAACGCGATTTCTGCGGCCAAATCGCGTCTATCGCGCGGCTTGGGCCGCTTGTGACAAATTGTGGCAGCCGCTGTCACAGAGAAACATGGCCGCTACTTATAAATGAGAATCAATTGGCCGCGTTGGGGATTTTTGTCAGGAAAGAACAGTATTTTTTCTCTAACACATGTAAATCATTTTAATTACTTGACCGCAAATCGGGGACGGTATTCAACCTTGGATTTGCTTGCAAGGTAAGCCAAGCTACCACCGGCTAAACTAGCTAAGCTAGCTTTGCTTAAATGCGCGTAGCGTTCGCCATTTCCCAATGAGCATGTTTTGTTATACAAAGTAGTAAATTAATGTTGACTTTAGCAGCGTACATTGTGATTTATTTAGTAAATGTTAGTTTTACAAGTCTAGTGCTGCTGGAACAACAGCACATCATCTATGATGAAAAAGTACCTTGCTTTAATTCCTGGTTAAACTGCGATGCATTGCCTGCTGACTGCCCTGATCATTTACACGTTTTCCACCTCCAATCTCAAAATAAAATACTCAGTGGATCATATCTATCATCAGGTGGTTTTTTAAAAACGTTAAGTAGAGATGCACCGATACCACTTATTCCAAAACCAATACCATTATAAGTACTTGATTAAGAGTACTTACCGATACCAAGCTTTATTTTAATTTTTTTACGTAGCTTTGATAAATGTAGTGAAATAAAGTAACTACATTTGGATACCACATCATTTTTATAATTTGCAGATTATACTGTACTGTTTTATTTCAGAATTACATTTTCTATATAATGTATGTATATCCGCTAAAGTCACTGGAATATGCTGCTTTAGGCCTATATGGAATATGATATTTGTGTGTCATACTCACTTTAGCCACAAACTGTGACCAGGACAGACTTTTATGATTTTAGAATAATTTTAAATGTGCTCTTTGTCATCCCTGTTGGTAAATGTGGGGCAGCTCTGGCCGCATTAGCATGATGGATTTAAACAGTTAATACTTTCACTAATACTTTTCTAATGTTCACATGCTAGCTAGACCTCATGTTAAAGCTCTTAATGAGCCCTATTCAGTCTATTAGTTACTTTTCAAATACAAATGTCACAATGCTGACACTAGCAAAGTAAAGTTAGGATTGCAATTAAGAGTACTGGATCAGTTTCCTGTATTGGTGCATCCCTACTTTAAAGACTCAAATGAAGCTCATTCTCTGCCGAAAACAAGAGCACATACATTAGTGGATCCACTACTGTACGCGCCACATATGCACGCACACATGTACACGCACACACACACACACACATTTCCCCCCCCTCCATTGACACGTAACATCCACACGCATCATCTCTCCCCTCTGTTACCGCCTGCTAGTTGCACACTGGTGCGGGTCAGAACTACATTGGAGCTTATCTTTACACACACATACATACATGTATTGCACACACACACATAGCTTACATATACACACACACAGACATATACACACATACATACATGTATTGTACACACACACATACCGGTCTGTCGCGCTCCTCTGTGTCACGGAGCCCAAAGCATTCTTGCAAATACACGGCTCCAGTCAAACCACATGGACCATGTTTGTGCTGCTGGTCCTTGGCATCAGCTCCACACTGATCACTTTTAAACTTTAGCGGAGACCTGAGAGACGCGGCTCGTCACTCGCTGCTCTGACCATGTGGACGAGCTGTCTTTTGCTTAAAAATGCTTTAAGCTGCAGCACAGAAGAATGGGATGATTAAAACAGCAGTTCTCTGTGCGCAAAGGTGCCGAAGCTGTTGCGTGTTTTGGTGCCGCTGTCTCGGCTCTGATCCCGTAGAACGCTCAGCTGCACTTATGAAAAGTACGCGGCTCGAAATGGCTGTTATTTCAAAGAATGTGGACTATTTTAAACTACGCGGTTAACCGGTTTCAACCGGTTAATGAGGCTCGGTGGTCGGTCATGAAAATTCATAGTTTTTTACATCCCTAGTGTAGGGCGTAACATAACAGTGCAGCCTGTCCTCATGCTGTATCTACTAATTTGACAAAAGCATTTTGAATGAATAACAAACTACAAACTTTCATCACTTTAGTCATGTGTGTAGTCTCTGAAGTCGCGTTTGCGTTATTTCCCTTCTGATTTGCGGGGATGTTCTTGTGTGTAATTGGCACATGTGTGCTGATGTTGCTGTATGACTGGACACAATGTACTGCTAGGATAACTTTTTTTTTCTTAAAATAGCACATGTGTGGTCTCTCAGGTGTGACAAATCGGCTGCCAATTTTAACATCCTGCTCTGTGACCTGGGCTTTAGTAGTAAGACTTCATTGGCAGCCCTAAAGTTAAACGGCTGTCTTCATAATAATGGAGAACATTGATAGGATATAACTAAAAAGAAAAAAAATGTGATGTGGGTTGGGGGGTGCTTTTGGGTGAGTGTCCATGAAATCAAATATTTGTAGCGGGGTTAAAGCTATGATCTTTATTATTTATGTGTTGTTTATAATTTTTATTTTCTCATTTGCTATTCTAAACTTGCTTTTTAATTGTCTTTTCAGAGTTTGTCGTCTTTCTGTGTCTGGGCTCCATTCAAGCCCACTCTGTGAGTAATTGGACACTTATAATGTGGATGCGATGTGGTCCTGTAAGGAGTGTAGTGCAAAACTTGTTTCCAGGCACTTGTTGTTGCAACATTTTAGACGGACACATGGTCATATTCGGGGTAGTTATCGCTTTCCATGTCCATATTCTGATTGCCCATGTACATTTATTACTTGGACTAAATTGCTAAATCATGTTTACAAAAAGCACTCCACTGAGCAGCCTCAAAGGAATGCAGGAATATTAACATTTCACTGTCATGTGTGCTCATGTACTGAACTACCAACAGAAAGAGACCTTTTCCAACACTTGAACAAACACCTTAAGCACTTT